CTTTATATTTTCTTCATTTTATGTCCTTGGAGGTTTTTATTGGAACTCCCAAACCAGATTGTTTTGAAAACAATAAAACCTGGCAGCCTCACCACCTTCCTCGACCACACAGCTTTTAGATAATTGGCCACTCGACAGTGTGACCTGATGCCTTGCTTTTGTTGCACAAACTCAAAGAAAATATTTTAGAATTAGGGGAATTTCAGAGATAAGGCTACAAATAATTAAATCACTTCCTTAGGCTACTTCAACAGTTGTGACGTATTTAAAAAGAAATTAAACATATACTTCAGAATTTAACAGATAAAAGGGGAATATCATATATTCCATTTTTATCTGAGTGGGACAAGTTAACAGGTGCCATATGTCCCAAGGAAGAAATTTTGTAATGACTTATTTTGCTTTCCATATATACTACATATTCTTTCCCTCTGAGAAATGTAGGTGGAATCCTTGCATATTTAATATGTTTGAGTGAAAGAAGGATTTCTAAAGATTAGAGATGTTTTCCTACATTTAAGCAGAGGTCAAGATATGGATTGATTTGTCCAAAGACACTTAGAGCTGAAGATTTTATTTAATAGATATTTAGACTGATTGCACTTAATAAGGAGAGTTCCTGGATTAAATATTGGCTGAAAAAATGGGGGACAGCCAGTTTTTGTATCTCATAAAAATGGTAATGCAACAATTAGCAGGGTCATATTATAAAGCACAGACTTTAGCTTAATGGATCTAAGGATAAGCATTTATCAGCAAGGAAGGACTTAGCATAAAGCGACATGTAAATGAATTGATGACTGATCATAAATTAATTTTAGTGCTGAAGATGTAATATAGACACAGCAAGATGCCATTTTATCATGGTATTTTACTGCTCAGTAACGTTTGAGCAACAACTTAATGTCCTATATGCAGTTCTTCTTTAATAGCTTGAATAAATTTGAGATTTTTTTGGCCTTTCAGCAACTTTAAACCTGAGAAATTTCCAAAGATTGAAAATGTAAACACAAATAAATTTGGCTATGTGACATAAATTCATTTTTCACTAAATGTTTAAATATGTATTGATGATGTTTGGGGCTATAACATGTCAAATTGGTATGGATTGCTTGTAATTTGTAAAGAATCTCTACCTGAACTCATTCACTTGGTGTTCATTTTAATTTTTATGTTTCTATTTACATCTAGGAAAGTAAAACCCGTTATCCCCAAACTTGCTTACTTTCTAATTCGTGAATCAATGTGTTCCTTTCCTTCTTATCATTGTCTTCTTTTATTTTAATGGTTTCCACAAATGTTCAGATCATTCCTGATGCTTAAATCTAAAGAAAGAGCAAGAATGGTAGCCACAGAGAGGTGAAATCAGTGATTGCTAAACAAATGTAACAATTTTATAGCATGCAAGAAATTTAATATATGTTCTATACTTTTTTCTCCATGGTATATTGCAAATTTTCTTTTAAAATATTCCCCACCAGTACCCCCATTCCATAGATCGTACTTAAATAGAGAAAAGAGGCTATCAAAAATAAAGAGTGAGGGACAAAGAAGAAAGAAAATTTATTGCCTTCTTTCGTTTCCTTCTTGCCCTCCATTTTGAAGGTGAACTCAACTGTACTAACCTGAGGGCACTTGCCCCTCTTTAGCTTGGGGTAATGAGGCTTCCTGATGCTTACCAAGGCCAAGCCTGTGTAGCATTTGTCTTTTCGACTTTGAAGTCATCTCTCTAGTTTCTTAGCTCTTACATGGAGTAGCAAAGAAAACAGAGTTGTTGTTCTTTCTATATTGACCAAAACCTACTCAAAGCCATGTCTTCCATGCTACTCTTTCTTCCCATGGAAAGGAAAAAGAAAGCACCAAAGAAAATTTCATGAGTAACTGAGATTTCTGAGGGCATGGCAAGGAACATTAACGGTGGAGATAAAGTCAGAGCAAAGACACAAAGGCAGCAAAGTAGCTGGTCTGTTTAGGGACTGGCAAATTTGTAGGTTGAAATCTGCAAGCTGCATATGAAGGACTCATTACCACAGGAGATAAATGGTGTTTTTGAAACTCAAGCTAACTCTGCTAAGAGAGGTCATAAGATCACATTTCTTTAGTGACACTGCTGTGGTGTAGGATTTTTCCTACTTTTTCAGGTTCAGAGACTGTATTTGTCATAATGATAAATCCTGAAGTTCAAAACAAACAGCAAAACAACTTGAACAGGAAAAAAAAAAGACCAATTATTTCTTGGCTGGTTATAGCAGAGAAAGAATTAAAACGAACAAAAATGGGCTAAGTACGTTAAAATACATGGTTGAGTGTGGATGGAGAACTCAGGGGAAAAAAAGCAAATCGCCACTTCATATAACATTATTATCTTACTTTGAATAAGATATTGATAAATATTAATACTCAAGTATATCAAAGCACAGCTATGTATATTAATTAATTTTTTAGTATTCCCTTTCAGGTAATAACTCACTTCTTTTGCTATTGTCCAAGTTGTCAACAAGAGTTGACTGACATTATATTCCTACTTAATACATTTTCTACAAGTTCTTAGGAATATATTTTTTCTGTAAATAAAATAAGTTCATTGCTAGGAAATGGCACATGGGATAGAATTACATATAGGATTTATGGTGAATAATGAGAAACATTGAAGACACTGAATTCAATGTGCCTGATGTTTGTTGAATTTCTACTGGGCAAAGCCCCCATAGAAGAAATATGAAAATGAGTAAGAGTCCCTCATTTCCAGAATTCCACTGTCTAGAATAAGAAACATTCATATGCAACGAACTATAGTTTGTAGACACCTGATATGCTACTGTATGCATACTGTTTGAAAAACACAAGTAGAGAAGTTGATTCTTCCTAAAGGTTAAAGGTGAGGTGTAATCAAGGTGGTAAAAGGGAAATTGATTTGGACTTTCAAGTTGGGCAGTGGTCAGTCGAGTTGGTGACAATCCGGAGGTGTGTCGAAAGGACCAGAGATAATGCTACAGATGTGGGGCAGGCAGTGGGACTACGAGGGCTGTAAGAGGGTGTAGGGCTGGAAAGAGAGGCTGGGCTAGATACTAAAGGAGCTCAAATTCTTACCTTGGAATCCAGATGTGTCATTCGCAAACTGAATGGTTTTGAAGGGAGGAACAAAATTACTTGACAAATGAGAAAACTACTTCAGATGACAATGAGAAAGACAGAAGGGACCAGAAGGAAATCAGCAGGCACCTAAGAATGAAATTGGAGATGAGAAAAAGGAGTTGCTTGTTTGGAGAGGGAGTTTCTTCAGAGAGCTGACAAAGATTTAGCTGTAGATGCTCAGAGGACATTTGGAAATACAGAAAACGGGTGCGTAGGAGAGACCAGGACAGAATTTTCACGTTTTTCAAAACTCTCCTCAGTTCTAGGGTTTCGTATTCTCCGGTGATCACTGACTGAATCACTTTGATTTTTTTTCTTATCTGTCATAGCATTATATTGCAAAGCCCACTGCATCATTTCTCCTTTCGTTTTGGGCTGTTGGTCCTTGACTTGTGATTATTAACTCAGAAATGGTTCTCTCAGAGGAGGCTCGGTGACTGCTGTTATCTGGGCTCCCTTGCAGTGGCCTGTGTCAGGGGAATTTGTTTGGAAAGTAAAAAGTGCATCTCTGTGCTTTTGGCAAATAGAATCAAAACTCTATCTTTCTCTGCTACACTTAACACCCTTTTAACTTCTCAGATTCTTCTAAACCCTTTGGTTTCTGTTTTCTCTCTCTTGAAAGTGCATGAACCCGTATGATTGTATCCTGGCACCTCAGCCAAAAATACAAATACTGCATCACACCAACACTCTTCACTGGACTGTTGTCTCTTAAATGCTGGAGAAAAGGGGGGTGGGGAATCTATGGGGGGGAAAATCTATTTTTAATCTCTTTTTTGTGACTATGTAATTGGTTGATGTAGAAACCATAAATGAGCTTCTTATAAATTTTTTTTTGCCTCTTTTTTAAAAAGTTAGGCTAGGAGATATGTGGCACTTTATTGTGTCATAAATTAATGGTACATGGCTTAAATATTGTAATATTAATTGTATTAAATAATAGATTAAGGTTTCCGTGTGCCTTGGTCTAAGAAAAAAATCTAAACTTGTAAATGATGTGCTGAAAAATTAAGAATAAAAGTTACTTCTCAGTATCTTCGTGTTTTGCTGCTCTTGACACATAAAAGTACAATTCTTTTCCTCTATCGCCATATTGTGTTTTGCAGAAAAATCCATATGAAGGCCAGTTACATCCCTCATAATGGTTAATTTTCTAAAACAAAGATTCATAGTAAAAAGAAACCTGGAGTGCTTAAAACAATTAAAAAGCAAAGAAGGCATCCTGAGCTTTGAAATTAATAGAAATTTTTAGAGATACATTTTTTCTTTGTTCTAAGCCTGTATGCTCTGATACTATTCATCCTTTTTTTGGTTTATACTGTTTGTTGTTATATTTCCTGATTATTTCCATTTGTATTTTAAAATCTCGAAATAATTTTAGCCCCTCCACAGTACACCAGTGTATATTGATTGGAAATTATCGTTTGAGTCTATTTAAATTCAAAATATATATTCACCCTCTTTCTTCATCTGAAACCTTGATAAGTTTACTTTAAATACACTATAATTTACTTCAATAAAAGTGTTCTTCTCTGAATTGTAGGGCTGAAGGTATACATAGCAATTCTCTTTCAGAAATCGATTATGTAATAATGTAAACAATATAAGACTGGAACCATACGAAACATGTTTTGTTTATGCGTTGCAAAGAGGTTTAGGTTTTACTGGAGATTCATTCGCCCGCACTAGGAATGTTTAAACCGTGGAGGAGGCTTGCATGTGGCTACGGAAGTCAGGATGGAACCAGATTTGCCTCGGGGAGGAGTGAGGAGTTGAGGCAACCTATTTGTTCCTTAGTGGAGTGTGTGCGAGGAGATGGACTATCCAGTATGTACCACTCACTAGACAACTACATTTGTTTTTAGGTTCAATGGTAAATGGATGGGGCTCTGCATCTGATGAGGACCGTAACTTTTCTAGTCATAGATCTAGTGTAGGTAGTTCCTCAGATGGCGCCATCTTTGCCAGCGGCAGCTTTGCACAAGCACTGGTGGCAGCAGCAGATAAAGCTGGTTTTAGGCTGGATGGAACCAGCCTTACGAGAACAGGTTGGTAGACTCTGAGTCCACACTTTGCATGAGAGAGTCTTGTCCTTTAGACACTGAGCTATTTTTCTCCTGTTCTTTCTCCTCAGTGAGTCTGACTACAGGGCTTTCTATAACATGCATGACCACAGTTCGGATCCTCAATTACCAGAACTTTCTCCCGATGCTTCTTTTGCAGAGCCGAGAATAGGCTCCTACTCACCCACTTCTATCCGTTCTTTCCCTTTCCCTTCACGGCTCTGCTGATTAATTGGAATATGCTTTCTTTTTACGTGATAGCCAAGCTGCAACTGAGATGGCCATTAAATTTTCAATAACTCACTCTTGGCCAAATTCTCACACAATCAATAATGGGCCCAGTGATTAAAAATATTCAGCTTTTATCTCCATTACTTTCCTTTGCCCCATTTCTTTCTGCAAATGTGTTTTCTGGGAAGGCTTTCTCAGCATGGGGTGAATGGGTCTAAGCCTGTCAGTCTAACAGTTCAAATGGCTGATGGTCTTATTAATTGTTTGGCTGTTAAAATTTTAACCCAATAATTTATTATTTGTTTTAAAGGATGCTAATTAAAGATACACCCACTGCATTTGCAACTAGAATAAAATGATGACTACAAGTGTATGGCTCTTCGGCCTAATCTAATTTGGGTTTCTGAGAAGAATTGAGTACCAATTTCATAATTTTTCATGTATCCGATTCTTTTCCCTAAAAGAAATGTGAGATTCATCCTAATAATAGATCAGTAATTTGTGTTTGTTTGTTTTACTGAAACAAAATAACTTTGGCATGATCCATGCTATTCTATGGCTGTACTTCTTAAATGCACTTATAAAAAGATTCTAAAATGTGAATTAAATGAAGCTACTTTACAAAACAAACTAATGAAGCCTTAAACACGTTTAAGAAATCTTAATAGTATTCAACTAGTAAAGTGAAGAAAAACGGTTTTGACCCTTCACTAAACTCTCAGGTGATAAAAAGGAGTCTTGGAAATTTTCTTTGAATTATACCATCAGTATTTCTTTTCAGTATGCATTAGGAATCTTCCAAATGATATAAAAAAAATTTTCCAAGCATTGCAGAGGTTTATTTTTCATATAGCATCCGAACTAAAATATGATGTAATATAACGGTTATTTGAATTTTCTTGCTTTATAAGGCGTAAGTCAGAAACTTTATGTTGCTTGAGTGCTTTTTGTGGCATAGCTATAAGCACAGCAATAAGAAAGTGCAAGGAAACTAATAAATTAGAAGGCATAAGTGCATTTCTTGCATGTATGCTAATAGCTAATAAAGCATTAAGCAGTATCATGTCACATTGACTTAAGAAAATGTAAGTACATACAATAATTTTGTGTAAAGGGAAAACATGCACAAGAGAATAGATACATGCACGTAAAACAACCCTCACTTACCATAATAAACATTACATTAAAATCATAAGATGTTGAACATTTATTAGCTACCCTTTTCACAAAATAAATTTCCCTGCATATGTACTTAAACCTCAAGAAAAGAACGTAACACAATTTCACTTTTCAATGAGAATTTGGAGTCTGCTCAGATACAGTAATATCCATCAGAAAACACCTATTGCACTTTGGATATGCAAGGTGATTTTACCCTGCTATCTATCCTATACTATACACTAATGTTATTGAGTTTCTGTAGAAGAGGTAAAATTCATCGTGTATTTGTATGGGTGGTAAGGTCAGTTTAATATATGTCTCTGAGCAGACCTTTCATGTAGATTTTTCAAATGCAATTACTTCAGGACCTTTTTCTGTGCTCAGAGAGAATTTGTAAGATTCCAAGGATAAAATTTGATTAAGCAAATAAGTACGTAATTTATTTCAGAAGTAACTTCTTTCATTTCAAGAAGTAAAAGCAGCATGAATTTGCATATAACCATGAAAATACCACTAAGATCATCAAGGTTAAATAAAAATATAAATCAAGTAATATCAAGTTTTTGGTCGGTAGATTTGTTTTACATCCATTTGCTTGAATTTTTTTTCCAGTGGGCAGTGTGTTGGTTACTAAAAATTGGATAAAATAAAAGCAAGAAGGCATATTTTTTTTATGGAGATGCACCAGTATTTGGTATCTTTAAATGGCATCTCTAGGCACGTTTATAGGTTAGGCTAAGTAAGAGCAGAAATACAAAACAGGCAGAATCACTGCCTTATAACATTCTCTATACCCCATTCCCTTTGTTTTCTTTTTAGGCAAAGCTTTTACCTCCTCTCAGAGACCTCGACCAACCAGCCCATTTTCTACTGACAGTAATACCAGTGCGGCCCTGAGTCAAAGTCAGAGGCCTCGGCCCACTAAAAAACACAAGGGAGGGCGAATGGACCAACAACCAGCTTTGCCTCACCGAAGGGAAGGAATGACAGATGGTAGGTTTGTTTCCTTCTCTCTTGTCTCCTCGCCGAAGAGATGCGCTCTGTGCGAATCATTAACTTAGATTAAAGTAGCAGTGGTAGATTAGGCACTGCCTCATTATGTAACAAGGCAGAAAACCTGGCGATATGGTCTCGTTTAAAGAAAACACCCTCTTTTCTAACAACCTGGAAGGATTTCGGTATTACCACGCCCCAAGAAATGTGTGCCATACCACTTTTCAATGTTGATCTTGCTGCCATTCTGGCATTTTCCATTAATGCTTTTTAATGGACATTCCCCTTTGAGGTTAGCAAAGAAAACGCAGGTAGCACGTGCACTTGCTGTGCATTTCTGATATTAAATTTGGGACATTTCTGACATCAAATTAAGATAACTTCGATGGTATTTCACTTTTGAAAAAGACCATGAAGTGATTTGTAATGTAGCAGTTTTTTTAGTTTCATGAATTTCAGAGCTAAAAGCATACTACAGATCATCTGGTAGATGGGTCAGCAAGCTTTTCTGTAAAAGTCCATATAGTAAATATTTTTTGTTTTACCTGGCCATACAGTCTCTGTCACAAATACTCAAGGCTGCCATTGTAGTGTGAGTGTAGCTATAGGAAAAAAAAAATGAATGCGTGTGACTGATTTCCAATAAAACCTGTTGATAGACAATGGCTGAATTTGGCCCATGGACCCTAGTCTGCTGATTTATTTCAATTCTTTTATTTATGTATAACTTTCAGTCTTTGAGTACTTATTTAAACACTGCTAGTTTCAGGAAGCACAACATTACTGAACGATGTCCTCATTCAATACAGAGTAGTTCATCTCTTTAAAGCAGGATCTATTTCCTGTACGTTCAACTGAATTCTCATACATTTAAAAATAGGAATACAAATATTTATCCTGATGTTTTATTCTAGTAATACCTATGATTTATGTCAAGAGCCTAGTATAATGCCCAAATCAAAGCTACATTTCTTCCCCCTTCTCAGCTATCCCCTCCAGGCATACAAACTTTAATCTGAGATAGTTCTACTAAATACCAAAAGGGTGAACCTAGCCAAGCTTCACATTAGAACCATCTACAAAGCTCTTAAATTATCCCCTGGGGATTGTAGGTTCTTTTGTTTGTTTGTTTGTTTGTTTGTTTTTGTTGTTGTTGTTTTTATTTTATTTATCTCTTAGAGAGAGAGAGGGAGAGCACAGAGGTAGAGGGTGAAACAGACTCTCCGCTGAGCAGAGAGCTTGATGCAGAGATGTGGGGCTGGATCCCAGGACCCTGAGATCATGACCTGAGCTGAAGGCAGACGCTTAACCGACTGAGGCACCCAGGCGCCCCCTGGGGATTGTGATTTCATTGTTCTGGGTGAAAACCAATTATGGATATTTTTAAAGCTCCACAAATGAATCTAATGTGCAATCAGCATTGAGAAGCTATGATGGTGTCCTTAACATTCATTTCAGTCTCTTAGGCTTATCATTATAAGACAGAACGAGACTTAGTTGGAAAAGTACTTACTCTTTATTGGTTCGGGAGAAGGGTCTGTATCTCGTAGCCATCTCTGTGCTTTCTGTTGTCATTTTGTAATGCAAGGCAGACTTTAAAAGTCAACCATAACTTGTTCTAAAAGCTTTCAGGTTTACTCATCTTTCCTGCTACCTTGTTTTCATTGGGAAGTGTTTCTGTGGAATTTGAGGGTAAGGGTGTACTCAGGATCTTGATTCCTTTATAAACCAATATCCTGTGGTGAACAAAAATGCTCACCGCTTCCTTTCTGCCTCAGATGATCTGAAGATTAGTTCAGCATTTAAAGCAGTCAATAGTGTTGATCTTATTCCCTCTAGATAAAAAGGACCACCCCCATTGATATGGTAGTTATAAAACTCAGAATTAACAATTTTGTATAGTTTTCCTGCTATTAATGTCATGGAAAGAGAAAAGAATGTTTTTTTTTCTGAAATGTTTGAAGATAATATACAGAATATCTGGAAGATAAAAAATATAAACCAACAAGATAGTGCTCCTTTTCTTACTAAAATACTGTTCTTGCCAGTTTTCTCAGAATGTCTAGTTCAAATAAGCTGCCTCCTACTTTAAAATATGATCAATTTATTGCTTATCTTTCTAAACAACAGACAGGTCCCCAACTCTTAAAGTTGCCACCATTTCAAAAGGGGGTTATGGATTATGTATTGTTAGTATATATATTTTGGAAGCAACGATATTGCAAGGGAAATTTTGGCTCCCATGTCTTCCCAAGTTTATGATCCAATGATATTCCAGTTATGACATGAGGACATCTATTATGGATGGCACTCTGTAGATCATCCTTAAGGATGGTGTTATTTTATAGTAAATGTGTGTGTCCTAGATTTGTATGGTATGAATCCATGCATCAGTAATAATTTTACAATATTTGTATGTAAAATCAAACTGTTCTTTTAGGGAAGGCTGCTGTTGAGTAGCACTTAGTGCATAGACATTTCTACACTTAAACTTTTGCTTGATACATTTTGATATTGTGTTTGGTGAGTAAATTAATCAGGGTAATTACTGGAAGCTGCCATACCAAACAACTGCTATCCCTCAATGGCTTAGTATGGCAAGTTTGTTTCTCATGGATACAATAATTTAGAATAATTTATAAAGGTCAGGTGGATCTCCTCTCAGTAGTCGTATAAGGATGTATGCTTTTTCAATATTGGGATGCCATCATTTTTAATGTGAGACATTTGTGGCTTCTGAGTGAGGGGAAGAACAAAATCTGGGTGATCACTTGGGAGACTCTATGTGGCATATATCACTTCTCATTTCCTTGACAAGAGCACGGGCACATGACATCAGACTACTGACTAGATGGAAAAGTAATGTTTTCTTGTGTCTAGTAAGAGGAATCGGGAACGGTAAAAAACATCAGTCTCTGTCTCAAAGGCAATGCAAAAACCACCACACACATCAAGTAGTCTTCTTCTCCCGTGAATAAAGACTCTCCTAAGCAGGCATTGTTCAGTCCAAATCTTCTATTACATTTGCATAAGCTAAAGAATACCCTTTAAAAGCAATATACTGACAAATGCTGAAGAAAGAAGGGAGAGAAAGTAATTTTCTGTCCATCAACTTCCCCCCCCCCATAGCATTTCCTTCTAGTCTGTTCTCCCCTCATTCCTATGTCCTAGTTAGTGAAGGGAGTCTTTGCTCTCCACAGACTACCTTGGCCACACTCCAGCTCTGCTACAAACTAACCGATACCATTTAGCAAATTTCTTTATTCATTAATCAGTTTATTCTCATACCAAATGATAGGCTGGAAACCAGCAGGCAAAATCCCCTGCTTTTCTGGATCTTGCATTCTATTGAGGGAAGATAAAGACCAATGCAAATACATAAGGGAAAGTAAAAGTATATAAGATGCTGGCAAATATCATGGAGGAAAAAAACATAGGAAGGAAGTAGAGAAATACCAGGGTTGGGGAGGGGGCCAGCTCTCTTTTAAGTAAAGTCTCAGGGAAGGCTTGACCAAGTAGATGACAGTACAGAAGACTGGAAGATTAAAAGGGAAAGAGCAATGCTGGTATCAAGGAGAGGTCACACCAGGTCATGAGAACAGCAAGTGGAAGCCTGAAGCTTATTTGCCGAAAAATAAGAGAAGCAATGTGACCGAGGCAGAGAAAAACGGAATAGAATATGAAGTTAGACCAGTCAGTGAAGGCCAGTGTTTGTAGGGTCTTAAGCTTCTGTAAGGACATTGGCTCTTACTTTGAATGGGAAACCACTGAAGAGGGGTGTGTGTGTATATGTGTGTGTGTGTGTTTAAGGTGGAGGAGTAACATGATTTTACTTCTGCTTCTATTTTTTAAAAAAACCATTGTAGCTGTTATGTCAAGATAGGCTAAATGTGCTTTTCTGTGTGGAAGCCCAGAAACCACTTAAGAGGTTGTAGAATTCATCCAGGGAAGCAATGTAGAAGTTCTTCCCGAGGTAGCATCAGTGGAAGCAAGGAGAAGGATTGAATTCTGGCTATAGGTTGGCAAAGCCCACAGGATTTGTTCGTGAAATTAACTCAGGCTATAAAGCAAGAAAGTCAAGGATTACTCCAAAGTCTTGGTCAACTTGTAGAATGCAGTTGCTACTAATTGAGATGATGGACGCTACCGAAGAAACATATCCTGTAGAGGAAGGTCCAGAACTCAGTTTAGATATGTGAAATTTTAGATCCTTTCTAAACATCTAAGTTGAACTCCTCAGTATGGATTTAGTGATGTGAGCCTGGAGTTCATAGAAGGAGAGATCCCAGCTGGAGGTATCTGATTTCTTTTTGCCTTCTTTTTTTTTTTCTTTAAACCTGAAAAAGACAATAAAAATGGCACATATTTCATTGGACTGTTGTGTACTTGACAATAGGAAATCCTCAGTAGGCTAGTAAGAGACTCTTTAGTGAATTGATTTACTTGAAATGAATCAACAGGGAAATAAATAATAAATTTAAGTGAACATATTTGATTAGATACTTTTATTTTTGCCACAGTCATTCTTAATTTCATCTATTTTTCCAATTTGTTTATTTCAATGTGCATGTCATGTTCTTTCTTCTTAGAATATACAAACTCCAAGTAAATTACTTAATTATGTAGCTATATGATTTCAGGTTAAATTAAATAGTAATCAGAATTTTGGCTAGCATACGTAGATGCCATTTTGGCCATTTTAAAGATGAAGCTGCTTTGATGGAGAATAAAAATCAATGACCAGATAGTTATTTTGAAAGCAAATATCATAATTCCTGCCCTTCCCCACTACTGGCAGTCTTAAGTCCAAACACTCAAATGAAATAATTACTTTACATTTACAATAATGCCTACCGAAGGAATTCAGTTTTGAATATAAAGGAAACATAAATTTATTTCTGGATTATTCTACAAACAGATATCACAATATTGGATTAGCTCTTCATTTTGGAAGAAATGTTCCAAATGCAACTTTATTCTCCCAGATGGAAACACTGTTCCCTTCAATAATTAATAATTCATAATCTAACAAGAGGACATACATAAGAACTGGGAATGCTGCTTCAACGTGGGAACTCCCAAAGCAGATGCGGAGGAGAGTGTTATTGTCAATTCAGTGGAGGACAGTATCATTTTTCTCATTATGAAAGAGTATAAAGTTTCTTAACAAAGTCTTTAAAAAGAACAGTTTAGCCTTCCTTAAGGAAGCTATCTTTCGTTCACAAGAAATTCATGCTTTTTCCTTTTGAATTTCACAAACAGTATTATTAGAAATAAGAGCACTAATACAATAGCAGCACGGGAAATAATGGATGAATATTATATGCAACAGCCCCCATTGATAATAGAGATATGTAGCGCATATGGTATTTTACTTCATGAACGCATAATATAATCACTGATATTCTAAGGATGAACAGAGAAGTTTGCAATAGTATGCCAGAAAAATTAGAAGGTAATAATCCAAAAGAATGTTTAGAATGTTCAGGAGACTTCAAAATCTTCAACGAAGTAATTTTAGAACTAGTATAATGGTACAAATCATGTTATAGAACTAGTAGAATTCTTAAAGAAAGATGAAAGAAGAGACTAAGATCACAGTTGAAGACAATCCAAATATAAAGATGTCATGATCTGAACTGTTAATGAAAGGAAAATGAAAAATTAGCTACACATTTGAACTTTTGATTTTTTCATATCTTATATTTAATTTAAAGAGCTTTTTTGCAAAGTTATCTATTCTACCACATCTCAAATTTTTATGATGCATTGTCTATTCTAGCACCATGAAGCATATTCTATCTGTACTCTGAACATTGGTTATTAGTTATTAAAATTAATACATTGGAAGATTATAATGTATTAGTTGTAACTCATTAGCTAACTCATGAAACGAACAGCCAGAATTGGTTGTCAGGCAGAATGTTAATTGCATTTAATAAATGTTAGCTTAACCCTTTGACTGTTGCTAAATGTACCACATACATGGGTAAAGGCAGTCATATGTTGCGTATGATTCAGCATATAGTTCTTAATTTCCCGAGGGCAACATTTCCTATGAAGAGTGGCAGGACAGCCTTTATTCTTCCCAGGGCCTTTTACTAACACAGCTGCTAGAATGTCTAGTCATTTTTGTGTCATGATATGTCTACTTTGGGGAGTTGGGGTGGACAATGAAGAAAATATGGAGAACACATAAATTGTATTTTGTACCTTGAACGTTAGCCTCAATGTGCAATTGAAAACACTTTCCACATATAATAATTGAAATCAGTCGATTTTGTTTCAAAGACACTGGGATTCAATGATAGCAAAGAGATCAATAATATGCATTTTAAACAGAAATAACTGACCTTTGCTCCCCCTGCAACCCTCCCTTCCCCCTCAGATTTCTTTTGCATGAGTGAGACTTTTAGGAGGGCACGGGTTTTTTTCTTCATCTTGAATTAAAACCTGTATTTTTCATTAAATTTTAGTCCATTCTAAACATTATTCACAATTTTTAGATCTTCCACCACCACCAGATCCCCCTCCAGGTCAGGGTTTAAGGCAGCAAATAGGCCCGAGCCAGCATGCTGGTAACGTGGAAAACTCAACAGAGAGAAAAGGAAGCTCTCTGGAAACACCACCAGCATCCAACTTAGAAGACACAAAGAGCTCATTGGATTGTCCAGCTAGAACGTCCCTAGAGTGGCAGCGACAAACCCAAGAATGGATAAACTCCACAGAACGCCAAGAAGATATACGGAAAGCCCTACACAAACAAAGTGTTGGACCAGGTGTGTTCTGCACAGTCCCAAGAAAGTGTGGACTTTTACCTTTTGTTTTCCTACCAGGTATTTTAGAAATGGCAGTTGTTTAAGCGCATCTGAAAAAAGTTTGCCTTGAATCACTGAAAAGTTGGGATTCCTCAGCAAAGTTCACCAACATACACCTTAAGGCTGATTCCCATGGGGATTGTTCCTCAAGTTAACCTTGCGTAGGGGTCTTTGAGCTGAAGAGATTTCACCTGTATTGTTCAAGAGACAATTTGATATTTTTGCCTCCTAATGTTTATATGGAAATGCTTTTAAGACCTCTAAATTTCATCTTAATGTCCATTTAATCCCTGTCTTCAACCAGTTTCATTTTGACTGAAGTAACTAGTCATTTTGAGAAGAGAACTCACTTCAGTCAAATCGTTGAACTCATTGAAATAACAAAGTTGCACATAAATGTATGTAAATATCTCAGGATAGAAAAGGTTAAACTGGGCCTGTGCTTTCTCCAATTGGTTAAATTTAGTTGATTGTTAACATTTCGTTGGGAAATATTCTTGTTTATAAATCAAGCTTCTGGAACTGTCACAAAATAAATGTCCTCACTTGTGGTTGGATTTTGTTTTGGGAGGGGTAGTGGTTGTTGGGGCCTATTATAGAAATACATTTTCTGGAACATTTCTTCTCATATCGGGATTCATTTTGATTAAGTATTAAAACATATACACAAACACACTCAACACAACATTTGAAAGTTTCTTTACACATTTGTTTTTTAATTTGGACTCAGTCTTTTGTAGATATGCCCTCTACCCAGGCATTTGCAATAATTATATGATGTCACAATTTGGTGCTTAAGATTTTAGAAAATGTAATGTTTATAAGAGCCAAAATATGTCAATTTTAAGACCTAGATTTAGTGAAACACTTAGGAAGTTTACATCGTTCAGGTTGTGAGAGAAAAATCATGTGATTCTTGAGATTTCATAAAGACCATTTAAGGAGAGAAATAGTCATCACAGTAATAATAGTCCATATCTAGAAAGAAAGAAAAAAATAGAAAGGTAGGGAGAAAGAAGAAGAAAAAAGGAAAGAAAAAAAGAAAAAAATGTTTTAAAATATTAGGTACTTAATAATACACCTTGTGTTATTTGTAGGATTGATACATAAAATATGTTTTCATTTATTATTTAGTTATGAAAATGTGTATTTCTCTTTTTCTTTTAAGGAAATACACCATCTTTAAAATAATGTGTTTCTATCCCCAGAAACAACAAAAATTTAGGAAGCTTTGTCAACTCATATATAGTTCTTTATCTAAATTGATTGAGAAAATGTTGCTATAATTTTGAGTGAAACAAAAACCATGTTTCTTCAATATTTTTGAAAAATTTAATTGGAGCCTCACTGAAGTCCAGAAATTGTATTCATAAAAATGCTTTTGTTAAATAATATGGTTCATTGTATTCAGCTCCCTTTTATTAATGAATTTAAATTTTGCAAATGATATGTAACATTGTATTTTTATCCCCAAATTTATTTATTTATTTATTTATTTATTTATTTATTTTATTCATTTGGTAGAGAGAGAGATCACAAGTAGGCAGAGAGGCAGGCAGAAAGAGAGGGAAGCAGGCTCAACGCTGAGCAGAGAGCCCGATGTGGGGCTCGATCCCAGGACCCTGAGATCATGACCTGAGCCGAAGGCAGAGGCTCAACCCACTGAGCCACCCAGGCACCCCCCCCAAATTTATTTTTTTAAGATTTTATTTATTTGAGAGAGAGAGAGCATGAACAAGGAGGCAGGAGCAGAGGGAGAAGGAGAAGGATACTCCCCGCTGAGCAGGGAGCCCAACAAGGGGCTCCATCCTAGGATCCTGAGATCATGACCTGAGCAAAAGGCTAATGCTTAACAACTGAGCCACCCAGGCACCCCATCCCCAAATTTCTTTTAATTTAATCCTGTTTCAATTCCTATTATCAGAAATGTTGTTTGCACATGGAAATTTTTAATATCTGGGCTTATTAAACCTCTTATTTTTAATTTTACTGAAGAGTGAAATCGTAAAATAGCCCATCTTGAAGTTAATATTTAAAGTTTGTTTGGCTTCCATGTTGCTGTTCAGCTTAGCTCTTTGTACTTCTTTTTCAGAGGAGACATTGGTGCCCTATAGCAAGCCCAGTTTCCCGTCTCCAGGAGGTCACAGCTCATCAGGAACAGCGTCTTCTAAAGGATCCACTGGACCGAGGAAAGCTGAGGTGTTGAGGGGAAGTCACCAGCGCAATGCCAGCGACCTTCTTGACATAGGATATATGGGCTCGAATAGTCAAGGACAGTTTACAGGTGAATTATGTAAGTGCTTTAGGACACTTCAAAGGCTCTGGTGATTCAGAACAAATAGTGGGTTAATAATGTAGGGGAGAAAAAAGTTTCCTTGACCCTCTTATGGTCCCTGGCTGGGTCTGAGAATTAAACTGATAAACAGAGATTAACAGGAGAAAAGTCTACAAATTTTATTGAATTTTTACATGTCCATGGGTGACTTCAGAAGAGCGTGTAGACTGAAAGAAGTGACAGAGCAGAAAGCTTTTGTATCTTTTAGACAAAGAAACCATAAATTTGTGAAGATTTTATGAGACCGAGAGGTTTGGGGTAGGGGAGTAGTCAATGGTAAAGAAGTAACTGGGAAGATAAGGGTTAGTTTAACAAGGTTTGTTTGCACAGATTCCTCGGCCCCATAACTCCCTGTCTCTGGGAATAAGAATGTCTTCCTTCCTCTGGTAGAGGGAGGGTAACTTTCACGTGGGAGTTTTATGGTCTGTTTCAGAGAAGAAGAGCAAGGTGGGGAGGAGAGAGGTCAGAGTGACCTTCCTCCCTCTGTTGGTTTCTCAGACTCCTTCAGCTTTCAATATTCCATATGCCAAGATGTCGTGTTTTGGGGTAGCACGTCCTGAACCTCATCAATAATATTGGGACAATAAACAAATTTCAGAATGGTAGAAATCGTGCTTTACTATGAGAAAAAAATCGATTATGATTTTTGGAAATAGAACATGGCTATTTACAGCCATCTACTAAATGAATATTTCTTCTATTCCAATTCTGATTCACACTATACAAAAATTGCCCATATTTAGGCAAGTAATCTTAATATTTATAAGTTAATTAAGTACAGTCCACTTTGCAGTTTTCTTTGCCTTTTAAAGAACCTCAGGAATTCCTCACTCCCTAGTTGCTCTTCATTTATTATTATAATTTTTTTTAGATTTAGGCAGTCGACCTTGTAAAGTTGATTTTTTATTATAATAACATATTTTATAAATAAATTTCTTTTTGAATAAAGAGCCAACATTGATATAACTATCTATAAAATAAAATAATCGCTTTTAAGATTATTATCTTAATCTATAAAAATCTATAATCTATATAATCTATAAAAATAAAAAAATCTATAAAAGTAAATCTATAAAAATAAAATACCAGACAACAGAGAAAGAGAGCATATCACAATCACAGGAAGAAGCTCTGAATTCTTTGTGTTAATTTTTTTTCGTAAAATTTACCAATTCTTCTCTCCGATGTCAGAATTATACTTGTTAAATAGTTTCAGCTGCTTATTTGAATTCACATTAAAAGCACTGATGAAGGAACAGCCCTGGATTCCAGTCTTCTCAACCCAGAGCAAGTCAGCTACCTTCCCAATCTCTCTACTTCCTGATTTTAAAAAAATGGCATTACTATTATGCTTCCATCACAGACTGGGGGATGCCATGAAATAATGAAAAATAAAAGTTCTTTCAAACTGTGAAGTTCTTTACTGACTAGCCTTCGCATTCTTCTTGTCTTACTAATGTGATTATTATTAAGATATGTTTATAATTCTTAATTTGATTCATGACTGCTTGGATTTTGCTTTGACTTCCATTTTAGTGTAACTGTAAACTCACAGGACATGCAGAGAGAGTGCTATGTGAATTTTAAATTTCCAAATTTTACAATGTTTCTTTCTTTCCCTTCCCATCACTGTTTCCTACCTTTACACACTCGCAAAATCCATCTGATGGTGTTATTTTCATTTATTATCTGTTCACGTGGCTTTTTGTCGTGCTGGTCAGGAGGAAAGACCACCTAATGTCAATGCAAACTTACCTCTGATTTTTATCTCTTTGTAGAGTAACTGAGAGGAGACATGCAAAGCTGCTCTGAAGGACCACCAGGTCTGAACTCATGGAAGTGATGACACTAAACAGTGCAATGAACAATTTCTTTATTTATGTACTATTAAAAGAACTGTAAATGCAATGTAAAGACACACAGCCACACATATCCCACAGATATTTTACTTGTGTTCTTCTCTTAAGTACACCACCCACCTTAACTCTTTCTTGTCAGGAGTATATAAAAAAGAAAGAAAACAAAACTCGCCCTCCAGGAAGAAAAGGATTTTCCTCTGTATATAATGTCTTTCGTGCATTGCTATGCAAGCTCCTTCTTTTTAGCTCTGTTCATACTATTGTCTGTTTTTATTGGTCTGTTGTACTATATGTGAATTAATAGGCTGTGGTGCCATATATTAACTTTTAATTGTGTAACTTTTATGTTTAAATTTTGCACTGCAATTTTATTTGGTGATAAGCACAAATCTCTACTCCTCGTGACATGAAGAACAGGACTGAATGTGAAGGGAGTTTCTGTACTGTAAGCTAGGCTGGGTGCGCTGGTTGGAACCAATCACGTTAGAGGGTTTGCAGTTGGGGTGTAGGAATAGAAAGATGCAAGGGAACAATGGTGTTGGCAAAGTCTTCTTTGAATATCAGGGACTGAGTCAAAAAGAAAAGCAGAAAGGTGGCTTTTACTATTGACAAAAAAGCAGGGGTGAAAGAAAGAAATTTAAGTCTTCAGGCTAAATAGCAAAGATGTACTAAGCTTGCTTAAAAAAAAAAAAAGGAAATTAAGGTTATATGTAGAATCAACTTAACCTGTTGTTGTAATTGACCTGTCTGAGAATTATAACAAGCAGAAGGAAATTAAGGTGTTTCACAAGAGCTGTGTTTATATTACAGTTTTTTAAAAAAGCATTTTCTGAATTACCATAATTAATCTCTCCAACTCATTAAGTCAGACTATAATATGAAGTTCCCCAAGGAACAAACAAAATGAACTCTAGAATATCTAGCAAATAGTTAAAGAGGCAATTTATTATTAGGACATACTCGGGCTGCTTCCAAATGCAAAAACTCTATTGCAATATCTCGTTTCATCTTTCTAATACATGTACAGTACACACTAGAGGATAGAGCTGCATCACTTAAATTTATGACTTTGGAAAAATAATGCAGTCTATAGACAATTTTGTGTTTTATTTGGTTAAGAAGTGAAGTTTATGCCACAAATGTATCGCCAAATTGTAAGTGCTTACAAGGCAGTGCTCAGAGTATGTTCAGTTCACAGTAAGTAGATTTATTGGAATAAACATTTTATGGTACATTCTCAGAAATTGGCTACCAACTAAAAGATGTTTGACCCACTTTGAATGAGTAATTTGAAAATGAAAATTTTAAAGGAGAAAAATGCATGTTTATACACTTTTTAAATAAAACCAAACCTCGTTAAGTGGACATTAATAACAGTGTCCTGCCTCATTTGTTCCCATGACTTTGAGAACAAGAAATTCCTGAACATCAGTCATGTATGGACAAAAGGAATATGACTTTGGAATATATGTCAGCCTCTGTTCGTGTATAGTCGATCAGTCAAGTAGAAGAGAACTTCCCTGAAATTCCCACTTGTGACATTTTTTTCCATCTGCCGCCTCCACAACTGTAAATTCTATTTCTAGTTATACTTTCTCATGTTTTTCCTATGATGTGTTCAGTAGTTGGTACTTTGAAAAATGTTCGATGTGATTATTAGAATCAATTCTAAAATAGGGGACCCGCTTGAATGACAATTCATATTCCCATGAATTTTTGGCTCAGTCTCCAGTTCTGTATCGTATTATTATAGCAAAGGGATAACATAATTCATTTTCTCTATCATTTTTGTTCCCTGAGACTGCATCAACACAGGCAAGAGTGGAGGAATGTAATGTTTTTTATGGTCCCCAACCTCTTTTGGGGCCATGTAGCTCATTTCTTCGCCGAAGAGGAAAAAAATATTCTGAGACACACTTATTAAATGCGTTGTCAACTTCCTACCACCAGTGCCTGAATTTTAATGCAGTTTGATTTCTCTGGGTCAGCTTGTCTAGGGAAGGTAAAAAGTTCCTGTGAAGAATGACTACTACTATTCACAACTGTAGGATGTGAGGAATTTAATTTTGATTTATGCAGCTCCCTACTTCGCCTCTTTCTATTTAAAAGCAAACAAAGTTTTGTTCATTTGTGTTCCCTCTTTAGGCTTCTCTGTAACCCACTTTAGATTAAAGCTTTCATTCATCACATTTATTACACACAGATGCCGATCCCTAATGCGACAGATAAACCAAGACTTCAGTGTAGAGTATGGGTATGACAGTGACTTCTGGAATAATGCAGGACATAGCATCATACCTTCCTGATTATTTTCAGTGTATAAAACGTAACCATTTGGGTTAGATTTTGGCAGTACAGACCTTATGGTTATGCGGAACGTTCTTCTAGAACATTCCACATTCCCTGTTACGTCTAGTTTTGTATGTAATTTGCTTAGTTAAATGTTGCTCCCAATATATCATCCTCACACAGATACAGAGCAATATAAAAATGCTGTGGCTATCCAAATGAATTCAGGAATCCTATCCAAAAATCAAAAGCTTTTGTCAACTTACTATATAAGTAAAAAGCTTCTAATCAGTATGTCAGAATGTTAGTAGAAGAATACAAACATGTACAAGACCTCCCATAATTTTTTTCATCTTGTAGCCCATTGAATGAATGTGAATCACTGAGCTCAGTCTTCGGCAGGTCTGCACAAGGTCTGCATGACTTGTCAGAAGGAAATCCGGGTGGGGGAGAATGCAAAGTCATCTTGCACTCACAGGCCATGCTACTGTGCACTCAAGCCCCAAACAACACAGCTCCATTCTCAACATGCCGCGTCTCCACTGGGGAAAAGCCAAACAGCGCCCCAACTCAGGTATGCCTCCAAGTGTGCAGGTAGAGTCAGCCCACCCCTTTCCAGACCTTTTCCATACCATATTTTAAGTGGGATAGTACAGGGGCTTGAAAACAATGGATTCCTTCACAGGATTTGAATCCAGTTCAGGGGAGCATATAGGAAAATCAAGACCAACATTTAAGGTGTCCTACAACCAAAGGGAAGTAAAAACATTGCAAGTATGCTTGTTCTAAATAACAAAAACAGATAAAATGGTGTTGTATGTCATAGCTTAATGCTCTGGGTATTTAAATATAGCTTCAATGGGATTCAAGTTGAAAGTCTGTATGAGCTCAGATAGAACACCTCCAAATTTCTATTCAACAAATTTATGGAATTGTCTGTTGACAACTTAATTACACGAATACCAGTGAGCTCTAAACTGTGATTTATCTTCACCACTGGAAAGTGATTGTGTGTCAGTATTAAAGATATGAAGAACTATGACATTCCCTAATTTGTACATCTACTTCTGTACATTGTATTTATAAAGTTACATGATGAGAATTGGTGTAAAGCAACGTCTTTCCACATTATCTTAGAGATGAAGTTACTTTTATTTTGCTTCTCTACAATGTGTACCTTCAAATGAAACCCCCATACCTTTTTTTCACTGAAGTTCAATTTACTAATTTTTCTTATTGTTTTCAAAAGCATTTATTGTGACTTTAAAGTGTTGCAAGATAAGGGATTTTGTGGCCGTGGGTAGACTTTTTATACTTTGTTTTATAGATGGACTTTTTTTTAACTAGTCTGTTTAAGTCATCAAACAGCGTCCAAAATCTTAATGTGTTTCATTTGATGTTATTAGATCAGAAAAGAAATTGGCATAAAATTGGTTAATAGTATTGTCAAAGAATTGTGTATTGTGTACTCACCGGGAAAAAATAAAATATATTCACATTTCAAATTTGTAAAAAAGCCATTTATGTAAAACAGACTTGCCTGTAGAAAAATCAAACACAGACCATTCTGTCACTTTTGTAACTCTACATTAATATTTTGTGACCAAATGCATAATCCGATTATCTCCTTTGGTAATGGGTTGGGTGGTGGTAACTAGAAATTGACTTACACTAGTGACTAAACTGCTGACATTGATGGAGAATATAAAAAGCATTTGAAATTATAGATTCCCCTCTCTAGGCCCTGCTCTCCAGACCTGATCTTCCCCACCCCATAAAGACTTTCAGGTAGATAGAATACAAACTTCTCATCTATGAAATTACCTTCAGAAATGATTCTTTCAATATAAATAAGTATGAGAATTAGAAGAAAGTCGATATTTCTTAATTGCCTTAGAATAGCTAATGATAACTTTTTCTAAGATGATGGATGTTGAAAAGTTGTATTAGGGACTGGGTAGAAAAAAGAAATTCCCTATTTTATTGTACTTCATGAATATTTCATTCTTTTTCACTAAGTACAATTACAGGATCAAATTATTTCTAAAAATAAAAAAAGTTCATGTATTCTTTAAGATAATATAGTAATAGTAAAAATGAAATAAAAAAACTGAACTCTAAAACTATTTATTTAAAAACACTTTTAAAGCACATGGTAAGTGGATAATACACTTCAGAATTTCATTTAATTTAGATTAACCATAGGAAAATAAAACAGTATTAGAGAATTACAAATAATGTTGCATTAACATAATACAGTGGCATAATAGGTGTGATTAAAGACAGATATATCGGTTACCAATACAGTAAAAAGTAGAGGAATTACAAAACAATCATTGCTTTTTTTTTTTTTAAGATTTTATTTATTTATTTGACAGAGATCACAAGTAGGCAGAGAGGCAGGTGGGGGGGGGTGGGGAGGCTCCCCTGTTGAGCAGAGAGCCCGATGCAGGGCTCGATTCCAGGACCCTGAAATCATGACCTGAGCCAAAGGCAGAGGCTTAACCCACTGAGCCACCCAGGCACCCCGAAAACAATCATTGCTTTATTGAATCTGGGTGCATTATGGAAACACCTACAGATGGCAAAAGTGCAAAATTATCGGAAAGATTTATCAAAATAAAACACTGTGTTCTCTTAATTATTACATATTAGCTATATAAAAGATACACCTGTGGCGCAAGAAAGCATTTTAACAAGAAATAACATTTAATGCCTTCAATTTGTGAAAGTGTATTTTCTATCTTCCAAAGAGAAGATCAGCCAAGTTCATGCTAAATTTCACTTCGTAACAGAAACGTGAAATAAAATTGCAATAACTGAAAAGCCAGTTGCAAGAATTTATAAGACGGGTAGAAAGACAGTAAGGCGGGAAGATAACAAGCTATCTCCGAAAGGTTTCAAGGGCTCTTTCATCTGGATGAATTTAGTGCAGTCTTGGTTTCGGCTCTCAGTCCCA